CCTCCCCCTGCTGTGATCCCGACCCCATGCCCCCCCCTGCCAGCCCCATGGAGCGACCCCCCCCAGCTCTAGTGTCAGCTCCCCCCCATCCATCGGTGGGGCAGAGAGCAGGCGAGATAAATGTCAGTTCAGATCACAGCCACCCTGCCAAAGCGCTGTCTCAGGGCTCAGAGGAACAGGGCCAGCCAGTCTGTGAATAGAGTGGAGGGTCAGAATGCCTGGGTTCCATCCCCAGCTCTGGGAGGGGAGTGCGGTCTAGTGGTTAGCGTGTGGGGGCTGGGGGCCAGGACTCCTGGGTTCCATCCCCAGCCCTAGGAGGGGAGTGCGGTCTAGTGGTTAGCGTGTGGGGGCTGGGGGCCAGGACTCCTGGGTTCCATCCCCAGCCCTAGGAGGGGAGTGCGGTCTAGTGGTTAGCGTGTGGGGGCTGGGGGCCAGGACTCCTGGGTTCCATCCCCAGCCCTAGGAGGGGAGTGCGGTCTAGTGGTTAGCGTGTGGGGGCTGGGGGCCAGGACTCCTGGGTTCCATCCCCAGCCCTAGGAGGGGAGTGCGGTCTAGTGGTTAGCGTGTGGGGGCTGGGGGCCAGGACTCCTGGGTTCCATCCCCAGCCCTAGGAGGGGAGTGCGGTCTAGTGGTTAGCGTGTGGGGGCTGGGGGCCAGGACTCCTGGGTTCCATCCCCAGCCCTAGGAGGGGAGTGCGGTCTAGTGGTTAGCGTGTGGGGGCTGGGGGCCAGGACTCCTGGGTTCCATCCCCAGCCCTAGGAGGGGAGTGCGGTCTAGTGGTTAGCGTGTGGGGGCTGGGGGCCAGGACTCCTGGGTTCCATCCCCAGCTCTGGGAGGGGAGTGGGGTCTAGTGGTTAGTGGGGAGAGGGGAAGCTGGGAGCCAGGACTCCTGGGCTCTGTCCCCAGCAATGCCACTAGCGTGCCACTGCTGGTGTCGTGTGTGTGCCTCCATTTCCCCCTCGCAAAATGGTGCTGCTGCTCCCCTGATTCCTGGGGAGGGTCCCCAGGCACACGCCACCCCTGCTGGCACCGTGCCATGGTCCGCAGTGTTGGGTGGGGATGGCTATGGCTCAGCCACGCCCTTGGCCCTCGTGCTGGCATGAAACTCACCGGCTCCTCTGGAGTCGGACCGTCCGCCCATACCTCCTCCATTTCCCCCTCGCAAAATGGTGCTGCTGCTCCCCTGATTCCTGGGGAGGGTCCCCAGGCACACGCCACCCCTGCTGGCACCGTGCCATGGTCCGCAGTGTTGGGTGGGGATGGCTATGGCTCAGCCACGCCCTTGGCCCTCGTGCTGGCATGAAACTCACCGGCTCCTCTGGAGTCGGACCGTCCGCCCATACCTG